AGCCAGGAAAACTTGAATTCTAGGCTAGCTGGAAATGTTTGGATCTTGAGAATATGAATGAACCGGATATTCCTTGCTAATCAAGCTATTAGTATTTAGTACCACGTTCCCCGTCGGCTGAAAACTATTAATCTTCTTCAGCAAAGACATATATGGCAACGTGCATGTTAAACACGACAAAAAATAAAAAAGGAAAAAACTGTAGATCTAATCGATTAAGAGAAGAAAAGTAAGCAAAACCTAATTAAATCATAATTTACAAGGTTTTGGATTTGAAAAAAAATAAGACAAGTAAAAACTAATTAAATTACAATTTACTAAGTTTCGCGTTTAAATGTATCTCATTTTCAGAACAAGTATGAAATCGTTACAACAAATACTTGCATGGTATGGTAGATTTTCTATTTGTGCACTTGAAGAATTCCCTGTTGATGATGGGTCAAACCATGTAGGTAGAACAAACTTTACTTCACATGAGTTAGGGCATCCAAGACCCATAAGCAATGGACCACGCCTATGTGCACTTTCACATTCCACATATTTTTTTGTGGTGAACATTGCCATTTTCTTTACGTCATTTTCCTTCTACAGTTTGCAGGACCAAAAAGATAAGATACGAGTGAAAGCTAGCGACATTTTGTTTTGAAAATTCATCGTAAAGTCTATGCTTTTCTTTTTCCACGTTGTGGGGGAATGCATGCCTACGCCATGGAATCTGGATCGCATTTTGCATAATAATAATAATATATTTGTCAAACGCAAATAGTGGATCAGTTATTATTATTATTTTTTGAACATTTTTGTCATGGGACCAGCTTGAACCGTTGCCTTGAGAGGAGGGTATGAATTTTACAAACATGGTTAGAGCCACTTGACTCGAAAGATCAAGTTCATAGATCAGTTAATTAGCGCTACAAAAAGACACATTGTATCGCTTTCTTAGCCGAAGTCAGTATTTAAAGATTTTATTATCATTGACTAAATTACCTCAAGCAATGCAATGCTAATCTCATTTATTAAAAAGATGTGTGTGATCAGGCGCTGAGCTAGAAAATTAATTCGTGGGGTGAAGTGTTATTTAAAATGTACAAGTAAGAAATAAATTTCGTAATTTTTTTTAATAAAATTAAGATTTAAATATGTAAATATTAAAATTTTAAAAGCTTTAAATATAAAAAAATTAGTTAAAATTTACGTATAATACAATTTTTATTGCAAAATATTATTTAAAATATTTCAAACAATAAAACTAAAAATTTCTCAACAATTGATAATTAATATCAATTTTGAGTTGATTTTATTTTTCTGCTTTGTCTAATTGACTATTAACTAAGTATATATTATAATGTCAAATATATCAAATAAATAAAGATATTTTCATAAATCTATTGTACTTATCAAGTGATTCATATTTTTTTGTACAACAGAATTTATCATTAAGTCTTTTCTAGTCAATTACCATTAGTTTAATATAAAAAATATTTATTCTATTAGAATTTCTTTAAAATATCATTAGACCTATAAAAGAATAAAAGTCATAATATACCTACATCGAAAAAGTCATAATATACCAATTCATTTTTTTTAAAGGCAAAAAGAGAGAGTGGATGTTTTAGCATTAAAAATATCAAAATATTTAATAATAATTACATAATAAATTTGATAAAATTTATTCTATATATTTGATGATTACAATTGGATATTTTAAATAATTTTAATATCAAGTCATTTTGATTTTTTTTTTCACTTCTTTTTAAAAAAGTTTATTTGATTTTTTTCAAAAATATTTAATAATTTTAATATTTATTCTATTTAATGTTTTTTTCAAAAGTCCAAGGGAGCTGGCGCCCCCGTCGCACCCCAGACTCGGTCCCAGCGTATGACAGATATGCAAGTTTGAATAGAAGTAATCGTTTTGATGAAATGCCAATATGTGGTCGGTCAGGTAAAACGGCAAACATTTTACAAGTTGCGATTTGACAACATTCGTGTTTATCCATTTGTACCTCAAAATCTAACATTTTTTTTTTTTCAAAATCTAACGTTATACTAGTAAATATTTTCAAAGTAGGCAATCATTACAAGGGGGATGGAAATTTGTCTAAATTTCAACGTAGGATTTCTCTTGGCTATAAATAACATCTTTCCTTAAGCTTGGAAGTTGGACCACAGGCTAGTATTGAGCCACATTACGAATATAGATTCTTTCAAAAAAAAAAAAAGAATAAAGGCATTTTAATATTTAAAAAGTTAGAACTGTTCATGAAAGTTTTTAAATATTTTAAATAAATCTTTACTTCTTATGTACGTAAGAAATTTATTAAAAATATTTAATTTATTATTATTATTTTTAATATTTTAATTATAAAAATGTACTGAATTTTCATGGAGGCCTTCGTTATTTCTAGTTTGTTTGATCTGTCTAACTATATTTTGCACCTATTCATTTCCTTGCCAAGTCCATACTATATCCTGCAGAGAAGGCTTCAACTCCTGTTACAGAATATCCTATTCTCCAATGTATCTCTAACAGTCTTCTGCAGCTCCACCACGTAAAAGGATGGTGTTACTTCGCAAATCTCTGCATCTATCACCAGATGCCCTTTCCTTCCTTGCTTGCTATCCTCCAGCTTCACCTTCCCGTCTTTCTTCTCGCACCTGAAACTCTTCGTATGGGCGATTTCTTCGAATTTCGATACAATGTCCGACGCCGGTTTCTGGGTCATGAATCTCGCCTCCATTCTCTTATCCATGTCTCCGAACAAACCCGATAGATCGAATCCGTGGGAAAGGGATATGATATCGAAAGCGGTGAAATTGGTTGGCCTGAGAGGGTTTCTTGATGAGGTTATTGGGTTTTTCATTGAATTGTCTCTGGAATCGGAGGAATCGAAGGCGGCGTGGACGTCGCTGATCAATTCGTTCAGGCGAAACTCCTGAGGTGACGGTGGGATCTCGAGATGTTTAAACCCTTTTTTGAACCAGAAATTATCCATGAGTTTCGCCACCGTGATTCTCGTGTTCGGATTTGGGTCGAGGATGCGGAAGAGAAGCTTTCGGACTTCCGATGGGAACCATTGCGGACATTTGAACTCTCCCTTGCTGACATTTGAACTCTCCCTTGCTGATTCACCGGTGCATTTCAATGAGATTCGGATCGTTGAAAGGGAGAAAACCCGCCAAAAGGACATACAGAATCACCCCACAAGACCATATATCCGCTTTGGGGCCGTCGTAGCCTTTCTTGTTGATGACTTCGGGCGCAACATAGGCCGGTGTTCCACACGTTGTGTGAAGAAGGCCGTCTTGCCTCCTCGATTCCCCCAATGCACTCAACCCAAAATCGGAAACCTTCAGATTCCCCCTTTCGTCAAGCAATAAATGCTCGGGCTTTAGACCACGATGGTATACCCCACGGCTGTGGCAGTAATCCACGGCGGTAATCAATTGCTGGAAATAAGTCCGGGCGGCATCCTCCTTGAGCCGCCCTTTGGCGATTTTGTTGAAAAGCTCACCACCTTCAACGTACTCCATGACGAAGCATATCTTGGTCTTGCTTGCCATCACTTCATGGAGGCCAACGACGTTAGGGTGCTTGACGAGATGCATCACAGAAATTTCTCGCTTAATTTGATCAATGAGACCCACTCTTGTCACCACCTCTTTGTCAATGATCTTGATAGCAAAGCTTTGCCCATTCTCCAAGCTTCGTGCAAAGTAAACCTTGGCAAAGGTCCCTTGCCCTAGCATCCGCCCCATCTCATACCTATTTTATAATAATGAAGATTTTAGCAGAGTTAATATCAATTAATGATGAAACAAAAGGAAATTAAATTGAATCAATATCAATCTTGGATTAAAATCTTTGAACTTGTTAGAGGTATCAACATTAAAAGGAACAAAGTTTGTACCTGTTCATCAAAAATTTCTTTTTCTTATCCATATTTTCTCCCCTTCCAAACAAAAGCTGAAACTAGAACAAAATGAAAAGAAGTTGATTTAGAGGAGAGAATGGGTGAGAGACAAATGTTAATTAGTACAACCTTCCGTCGCAAGTATAGAGCTAGAAATAGTGGCTTTGTCACAGAGGGAAGAACAAACCCTGACAAGTTTATTCATGAATTTCGGCTAACAGAAGAAACCAGATTTGTGTCAAAAATAGGAAGTTAACTTGTTTCAAAGTATTAAGTACTGGACATAATTTCCCTTCCATGTATAGCAGGTTATTGTTCCATCAGTTTTGAAAATCTTGGGTTGGAGGTCTATTGAGATCGGACAGCTCTAAAAATGATTTTTTTAAGATTTTGACATTCATGTAACTATGTAAGAGAAGAACTCTGAAGACTGAAGAATCTGCTAGCAACATTCTGTAGATGAGGGGAAGAAGTGGAGGAGAAACGAAGCAATCAATTTCCACAGCAAACAAAACGAAGAAACATAAAGTTTAAAAAACAAGTTTGCTTTCAAGTAAATTTTGTCTTACAAATTTAAAAATTTCTAAAAACTTACTAAAAAATCAAATTTTAAAATATTTTGAATGAATTTTCAAATTTGCGACGGCTCCACCATTTTGGTAGATTTTGGTTTTACCAAAAAAGAAAAAAAAAAAAAAAGAAGGTAGATTTTGGGATCATTGGATTTTGCATGGAGGTATTATTGAAGTGGGTCATATCAGGTATTGGACCTTTAGTCATGTGGAATGTCGCTAGGTGGATAGGCCATGTTCCATGTGGGTTCAAGGTGGACAAGTGATTAACCCACCACATGCATGGTTAAGGTTATGCACTTAATAGTAGTGGGTGGTGGACCGGTTGTCACTGGGCACAAATATGATATAGGACGGCGCCCACCCTACCAGGAGAGGGATATACCGCCTAGAAAGAAGGACGAGGGGGATCCCCATGCCCAAGGGTTCCGAGCCCGAGGTGCAATACCAACACAATGTTGTCTTTGGTAGATGCTCACAATAATTTTGTGTTATTGGGAAATGATTGGTGTATTTTTATAAATTTTTTTAGTAAGAAATTTTTAATTTGTGTTTGTAAGGTAATATTTTATTATAAATTTATATAAAAATATAAAAATAGATATTAATTTTAATGTTATTATTATATAAATAAATTTAATTATATAATTAATAAAAATAATACATTTTTTATTCTTTCGAGATTCTAAAAAACTCGCATTAAAAAATCCTTTTAACCCCTACAAGCTAAATAAATTAGTAAAACCAGGAACTTAATTAAGAACCATGCATGACCATGCTTGGAATAAATTTTAGAATTGTGTGGGTATTTTCTAAAGAATGTACTTAATTTTGAATATGCTTCGCATTTTTTAATATAGTATTTGGGGGCATTTGATTTCGCATTTAGGGACAGCTGATATTTGTTATCTCCTAAATAGTTATTTATAGTTAAAACTTAAAATTTTCTATTAATAGGTGTCAATGAACATGGTAGTTAACTGTTGAAATTAAAAAATTAATGTTTACCAGTTGGATTTATAAAAGATTAAATAAATAAAAAATTTAAGATTATATTATTTTTAATAAAACACTATAAAGAAAAACTAAAATATCTTTATTTTTATTTTAAAAATAATTAGAATATTTTAATTTTTTTAATAGGATATTATTAATAATACGATATAATTTTGAGATTTTTTTAATTTAATGTTTTGTAATATAGGTTGATATTCATTTTTTTATTGAGTTAAACCTTATTTTTATATTTTTATTTTTTTACCAATTTACCCCTAACAATATTGCTAATATCTTTGCAACAACCCGCAATCAATCTTCCGTTTATAGAGAATCAATACCGTTTTGATTTCTTGCAAAAATCGAATCTCAAACTCTTTCCGAATTCAAGCAGAAATCAAATCTTAAATTTCTTAGGGCGGCAGCTTGGCTCGCGGTGTGAAAACGAATTCCTTCCTCTTCCTTGCCAGATTCGTGAGCCAAAATTTCTATCTTGTACTTTGGCCAGGGGGCCTCCAGCTAGGGAGATTGCGAGCATGGCCTAAATTACTACTACCTCCATCTAAAGCTATCCATATTTAGTGTCACACTTCCTTTTTTTATGTAGATATTATTAACTTTATAACAATTTTATCTATACTCTTTATTAAAGACTCTTGTATTGTATCCTAGTGAATCAAGAAAATAACTATCCAATATTATTCAAGTTGTCAACGACTGAAATAATTCAGTGATTATCTTCTTTTACTAGAAATAAAAAGTTTTAAATTCGAGTTGCATGACATATGCGTGGTGAGATATTATTTCCCCCTTTGTGGAATGAAGATATGTCAATTTTACCTATACTTTTTATTAAAGACTCTTGTATTGTATCCTATTGAATCAAGAGAATGACTATCCAATATTATTTAAATTGTTAATAATTTAAGTGATCATTTTCTTTTACTAAAAATAAAAAATCTTGAATTTAAATTATATGACATATACTTGTAGTGAGATACCATTTTCCCCATTCTGGAACGAATATATATATATATCATTCAAGCAGTCCGATCCGTTGTCGTCCAGCGGTTAGGCACCCAAAGACCCGGGTTTGATTCCCTGCAACGGAGTAAGTTTGAATGAATTAATCGTTTTCTATTATGTATATTGAATTTTGATTAACCCTATCATTTAGCGCAATGCACGTCCATAATTAAGAGACTCCTTTACTCAATTTAGGGTAAGAGTTTGATAAATGTATTTTTTAACGAAAGACCTGTTGGTTTGAGTGAAATGAGTGAAACAAGTATAACGAGTGGAATGAGCTCGATTCTCTTTAAAGAAGATTTTGAGTTTAAGTCTTTTGAATAGAGAAATAGGCGTTGAGAGAGTTTCTACTCGAATGGGATTCGACGTGATTTGATTCTGAATTAGTCGAAATCTAATGTGATTACCAGATACCAAAATGTTGGTACAAAAAAAAATAAATGTATTTTTTAAATTAAGTTTCATTGTAGAAAAATATAAATTTTAATTTTAATTTAGTTAATTGATCAATTAAAATTAATTACATTGTAATGATATTAAATAAAAGTTATTTTTTTATTTCTTTTATTTCAAAATAATATATGTTTTTCTATTTAAAATTTATCTAAATATAATTGTTTTTTCTCATATTTTAAAAGAGACAATTATTTTTTTCTTATTTTCACCTTCTAATTATCTCAAGTTTAATTATCTATCTTATTGACTTGAATCCTTAGAGTACATATTAAGCAAATTTTTTTTCTAAGTTAATAATGCATTAATTACGAATTTTTTTAGTAATTTATAAAACAATACAAAAACTAACTTTATTTTTAATTCAAATAAAACATATATAATTTTAACTGCACAATTAATATAATTAAAGGCTCCTTTTATTTTTTTTTATAATTAATAATTAAAAAATATAAAATTAAAATATCTTTAAACTAAGTGCACAAGTTAAAAAAATTCTTAAATTCATTAGTTAGTTTTTTTGGATTCTTTTTGGGTAATCAAATCATGGAGTTTAGTTTTCTTGTTGCCCAGCATTGATTTGGTCGATAAATTATGAATATGCCTGAGTTTTGACCTCCTGAACAGATAGCACGTGCATGCTCTTTGTCGGGTTCTGTTGCTAAGGATGTTCTGGTTGTGTTTTATGTTGTAATTTATCCCATGATCATCTGATCAAACATCAACAACAACATCATCAACTCTATATATATGTCTTATGTTTGGCTTAGCTAGTCTATTTGGAAGTCGGTTCAAAAATATCATACAGAAATCAATACCTTGTAAAAAAATATCATGGTAGCTCTAGAGCTAGCTGATCAACAGCTGAATCCCTTTCCTCTGCACTACACGTGTTGAGTTATACAAGACACCTACGTACATATATGCTCATTCAAACCAACACGTAGATAGACCATCTAATATGGATTCCCAAAACCATGAGCTCATCTTCATGTAATATCCTTGACTTAAAATATGTTTTCTTGTTGGTTTCAAACCAAATGTTAGAAAAACAGTTTTCCTCAAACATGTTTTACCCTTTTTTTTTCTTTTTAAATAAAAAAATTTATAAAATTTAAACTGAAAGTAAAAAATATTGTAATATTGAGAGTTTTTTTTTCGTATGATTATTTTATTTTATAATTTAATATAATTTAAATAGTAAAATATAAAACTCTTTAAAATTTTATAGTTTTACCTTTAAAGCATTACTAGATTGGAGGTTCAAATAAATTTGAACTCGAACTAGGAGATGGTTCGGCGGCAGGAGGGCTTAAGTAAAACCTTCTAAAGTTCCATCAAAGCCCGAGAAATGCAGGGACGGACAGATGTGTGGAGCTAGGTGCTGGAGACGGAGTTGGGTTGCTA